AACTTGAATACGTTTTTTTAATATAACAATTGGTAAACGGGCCGTTGCCATTCTTTTAAAAACCACCAACCCTTTTCTTCAAGGACCCTAAGTCGTATTGGTAAGATCCTAAACGTTCTAAATACAAAAGAACCCTCACAATCTAATTGTATCTAAGTTTAGAACCAATAACGGTAAAAAAACATTGAGCGTTGGGGGAGTGCTGCGGTATAATAGACTATATTTAAATTCAGACTAAAAGACCATCTCTTGAGTGATCCCAGTTATCTACGTAAATGAAAGTCCGCCGAAGTTCTACTTCGCTAATTCATCCTTGAAGCTCTTCATGACCCACGACGTGATAAATTGTATCTTTGGTATATAAGTTCTCATGTAATTGACTATTGTCTGTTATGAGAATAAATGTCTTTAAACCTAAAAAAAGCAAGCAATTACCAACATTTTCGTCCTGTATATTACAGCATCGTTACTTAACTCATTAAGATACAAAGCCTCATTATTACGCCAAATGCCAACAATTCGCTTAGTATGGAAGTCGATCTGCCATCAGGCTCCATTGTGTAAACTTCTAATAATGCTTTCAAGTCGCTTCGCTGCTCTAAATGTTTAATGCCACGGCAAGTCAGCGGACAATGAAACACTTCTGTAATAACGATGCCATCAAAAACATAACTTGTATAAAAATTACCACTATGTGGAATCTGCTGCCCACTGTATTTCCGAACCAATTCGACTTAGGGTCCTTCAAGAAAAGAGCGTACCAATTCTTGAAAGGCCGGCAACGCACCTGCGAGACTTCTGGCATTGTGAGTGTCCATGGGCGGTATCACTTAACATCAGGTGAGCCTCCTGCCCGTTTGCCCCCTATTACATAAAAAAAAATTAAGTCTCGAGTTATGTTAATTACTTTAGTTAAGTTACATATATATATTATAGTTAATAATTAGAAGCGTAAACAATATATAAACAATCTTCGCACTTGAAGCCAATATTGAGCCATTTAGTTTTTAGTCTAGTCAACAAGTTCAAAAACGTGAAAAATAGAGATAAAGGTCATAAAAATATGAGCGATGGCTCATTCGATTCGGAATCACCTCTAGATTTTTTTTCTTCAGCCCTGCGATTCTGTAACTCACTTTTCGAACTCACACAGCGGTTTTCGCATCGGCGGTCGCTCTGAAATCAGTCGTGAAGCAGTCATTTTATGATTTGGCATTCTGAAAAGGTGGGAGCTTGTGGTTTATTGTTTATCAGTATGCCAAATCATAAAATGACTGCTTCACGACTGATTTCAGAGCGACCGCCGATGCGAAAACCGCTGTGTGAGTTCGAAAAGTGAGTTACGGAATCGCAGGGCAGGTCTCAATTCTTTCAAGTGTTAAGAAGATACTAGAATTTTTTCAAATTTTTAAAATCACATTTTAAAATATTTTTATTGCTGAACTCTCTTTAGCGTTTTATTTTCAACGTCTAACTAAAATTATAAATAATCGAGATAGAGTTCCGGGAGTCTCGACTTTTTTATTGGAAATTTTCTCCTCTTTAACGAGCTTTTTTCAAAATTGCTTAAATGTTAATATTTTTTGAGTTCTTAACAAAAAACGAAATATCATTTTTTTTTCTTTTTTTTTGTTAATAACAATTGCATTTTTTAACCTGCACCAAAATCCTTCATTTTCCCTAACATTTTTCTAGAGGTGATTCCGAAGCGAATGAGCCATCGCTCATATTTTTAGGACCTTTATCTCTATTTTTTTTTTTTTTTTTGAAAAACCAATTTATTAAAAATCGATAACCACCAAAAAAGGAAGAGAGATAAAACTGTATCTCCCAACTCTACACAGTCCACATCTACAATTACACCACTAAAACTAACAATGTAGGACGAAGAATTTCCCTCTACATATATAGGAAGAGATGATCGTTTTCGACCTCCCTTTCAAAACCCCGCAACCCCCACCCTGAACCAAATTGGAACATTCTAAACCTAATCAAGAAGCCTTCCCACCACGGTTGGTCGCCGCGGGAAGCCCCCACCCTCTACAAAAACATATATATACATACATCCTCAATACTAGGACTTTAAAATCCATCACTTCTGAGCTAGAAGTTCCTGAAAGACCTTAAATGGGACTATTGGGACTAATGAACACCAGGAATCAATCGAAGATGAATTTATAATGTTCCATAAAGGCAAATTGGAGGCCAAAGGAGTTGGTTTTAGTTAAAACCCACTTAAAAAACTCCATAGAAGATTTCATCGGTATGACGGAAAGAATACCATACTGCATTTAAAAATACCCACTTCAAAAAATATGGTCAATCATCCAAGTCTCCACCAACTAACAAGCTATGAACTAAACATCATCCTTTTATTCCTATCTCAATCTATATGACTACTCTAATAATATTATTATTCTGATGGGGATTTCAATCCAATAGCGCAGAACGATGGAATACATATTGGGAGAATTCGCCTATGGAAAAAGAGTTTGCTTATGATTCCTTCTTCTATCTTCATTCCAGTATCTTCAAGAAGATAAAAAAGTGAATGGTCTCCCCTATGGATACGAAATGAATAGTTTATTTATCCCCCTTTTCCCCACAGTCATTTCTAGTTAATTTCAATCTCCATCCTGGTAGCATCGCTCAAATACGCCCCTAATCCGTAGAAAGACATTAACTTGTCTCGACCCATATCCGAACTACCAACATTTACCCATTACAACTCAGCCAGAGTATCGAGAGGACTTGACATAAAAACAATCCCACTTCTCAACTTCCTTCTAATACTAGAAAAAGAAGAAACAAAAATATATTTTGAGTGATTCTACCATGCAGCTTATAAATAAAAAAAAAGTCTATTGCAACGCCGGAATCTGAGAGAAATAGCGAAATAGTAAGGGAATAAGGAAAACATTCCAGGACAGGACAAGGAGTACAACACTCCTCTGATCAGGCACAAAAAGCTCTTAAAGACTTCGTGAAGCGACTCCTTGGTACCTAATCTCAAAAAATCAAATTAACATCCGAACCCACTATAGTAAAGACAGCATCAGATTTTTACAAAAATCTATACTCCAACCCAGCTATCGCAGGAACAACAGTCCCTCACCGATATACCCTTCAACTTGAACCAGATATATTACAAAGTGAGTCGAGCTTTAGCTATACAGATTCCTGAACAATGGCAAACCTCGCACATAATTCTTATATACAAAAAAGGCTCAAGGAAACCTTCCCTTAGACCAATAAGCCTGATGTCAAACATATATAGGTTTTCTCCAAGATTTACTTCGTTCACCACATTGAAGAGCCAACCAATGAACAGGCCATTAGGAAAAATTCGGAACGTAGATCTATAACAGTCAAAATCATAGAAAATTGAATTAACAAAGTGTATATCTTTTTATTACACCAAAGCTTGACAGCATCAAACATGAAGTGATTTGGGAAAGTTAACGGAGTATCCGGGGCCTTTATCTAAAACTATATGCTAACTGCAATGCAAAATACAAATGGAAAACTCGGAAAGAATTTAAAATCGAAAGAAGTGTCAGACAAGGGGACCCATTATCTCCCAAGCTATTTTCTCTGTGCTTGAAAACATATTCCGAAAACTAGAATGGAATGAATTTGGACTAAATATTGGGAGAAAATACATCATCTTCGATTTGCAGCACATTGTATTGTTCGAAGAGAACCCTCATAAATTGGAGAATGATACAAGACTTAAAAAGAAAGTGGAAAGTAGGCCTGATGACCCAAACAAGCTACTATCAAATTCAGTCCCATACGAAATAAAACTTAATATCAACCTCTAGAATACGTTGAAGAGTACATTTATCTGGGGCAAATTATCTCTCTAACTGATATAACCACCAAAGGATCAAAAGAAGAATAGCAAATGGATGGAAAAGTATTGGTCACTGAGGAGATCATGAAAACAACAGATTTCAGCAAAAAAATAAAGAAAAGTCTTTACACATGTATCCTACCCTGCCTTACCTATGGCTGCAAACTTGGGCACTATCTAACCAGCACAGGGATATGTTAGCACACTGCCAAAGAGCCATGGAAAGAAGCATGCTGACATAAGAAAATTAGATAAACAAATAAATCAGACATAAGAGCTAGAACAGGTGTGACAGACATTCTCACTAAATTGACCAAAATAAATGGAGTCGGATCATCGGTGAATGGACGGGTCATATGCTACGGAGCCCTCATGAAAAATGGAGCAAAATTGTGACGGAATGGTACCCTAGAGACGGAAAACGAAGAAGAGGTCACCACCAAGAGATGGGAGGACGAACTGAAACTAACAGCAGGCTACAACTGGAGAAGGTCAAAGATGAGAACAGTGGAAAGGGTTAGAGGAGGCCTTTGCCAAGAGGCAAACCGAACTCCGAGATATACTGGAGTGAAAATTTTAAAGTTCAGATATATAAAATGACAGAGTTTCGGAATTTAAAGGCTATATTATTATTATTATTATCTCTATTTTTCACGTTTTTGAATTTGTTGACTAGACTATTTACCACACACATAAATTGTATTTTAACATTCTCGTTTCCGATAATGTTTTAATTGTTAGGTTACATAACAAATAACATTAATAAAAATTACTAAGAAGTACTCCGATACTAGCATTCTGTAGTAATATTTACATGACTAATGCCCCTAATTTTGAAATAAAAGTGCAAATGCGAGTTAGGTCCGGCAGCGAATCCAATTTGCATGTTTTATGCAGGCGAGTGATACGACCGACAGTGCATTGTAAGTGCAGCAAAGCCTTAAAATATTTATATTTCCCACAAAATTGGGTTACGTTGAAAGTTGTGTGAGCCTTGTCCTTTTAAATTGATTTTGTATTGAATTTCAAGAAAGAGAAGAAAAAGAAAGCAGAGCGGATCTCATGAGCTTATCTATATATCTTGCTCTATTGGAACCCGCAGTCCCAAGCAAACCTAACGAAAAGACTTGGAGCGAGGTGAAATATGAGGTTCAAGTCGCGTTGGAGCCTCACTGTGGAAGCCCTAGGCCCAACTAGGGGTCATATACAGTCAAGTCTCTTGACTATTGGTTCTCTTCTTGATTATTGGTTCGGAAAGATCATAAAGAGGACTGAGATCTACACCTTACAAGCAGTCCTGATCGCAATTGCTGGTATATCAAAAGATGCTGGAAGCCGACATGAAATGAATATTGGCTAAATAACTACGTTTTGGGAGTAGGTAACCAAAAAAAGGTTACAAAAAAAGACCTGCAAAATCTGAAAATGAAATGAAACACGTTAACTTTTCGTCATAACATTTAGTAATACCATGCCATAATCAAGCACAGAAGCTTTTTTTAAGGCAGGTATCGGCTGGATATCCCACGATTTTTAAAATGTTGGGAATTGTTTGAGGGTCTTGATTTAAGTTAAAAGACGAGCGAACCGTATGACACTTTTAATTTAACTGAAAAGAGTTGTTTGGCATTAAAACAAATCGCTTGATGTATTATTATTAATAAACGTCACGGTTCATAGAATACTAATATTTGTATACAATGGAGAAATCGGGTGGATTCAACGAAAATGGCATTGTTCATTTCATTTCAAGTGCGGATGGCGGGCTCGCACCGGAATTATTTACTACGTAACACCACATGCACTTTATTTTTTTGTTTCAAACCATTCTCTCGTGCAGGGATTAATGTAGCAAATAATTTAAGCGTTCCCACCCGTACTCTGAGTCGGTAATTAAGAGTTAACTTAAACCTATTTGCTGTCGTAATTTTTCTAGGAAAATGTATGCGACAGCATATTCACAATTGTTTTATTTGTCTTGTACGAACGCGAATTATCGGCGTTCGCCAATGTTTCGGGTTTTAGCTAATTACAATACAATTTATGCTGCTGCCAGTATCTTCGGAACCTAGCCTGAAGGGATCCATTTAATCCATTCCATTCCATCCATACATTTAATAATATATATTTTTTAAGGTGGTCTTTTATTGACATAACCTTTACACATTTAAAGAAAACAGTTTTTAACCGGATTGAAGTTATGTTTTTAATCAATCCGCCGGATTCTTTATCTTGAAATATCCGCGAAAATAGAGGACAACGTGAGCCATTTCTGCCAAAACCCTCCATCTTTTAGTCGATACCAACTCCGGGGAAACAAATACAGACAATACAACGTTTTCTACAGCTGTGATACTTTTTGACATTCAACACCTTTTGTCTTCAGTCACCGTCACCACGCAAGCTCTAAAGCACGCGAAATGTCGGTCAAATTTAAAATTATGTAAAATAATTGTAAATTAAAAACATAACTTCAATCCGGTTAAAAAGTGTTTTCTTTTTAAGGTTTTTAGGTTTAGATTCAATGAATGTTATTTTGCGTTACTTAATTAATGTCATACTATTATTGTATATAGTGGTGTAGTACATACATAATATAACTGTCAGCAGATAATATATTTGTATATAATACCATTTTACAATGATGCCTGTTTAAAATAACATTCCAGACCAACCAGGTGAATACAACAAGCATTTATTTCGCTTAGATAGGTTTTCTATTCAATAAGGACAATGGACTGAAAACATTTTATCGAACTGAATTCTTGCATTCACGGAAATCAGCATTACTACTATGTATTATGTAAAAAAGTTCATAATTGAGAGGATTCTTGCCTTCCCTAATAAAGTGATGTCATAATACTATCATACTTTTATTTTTTACGACCAGATTCGATATCTAAATTCCACTCGTAACTGCTACGAGTCGTTAATTGTTCTATAGGATACTGGTATTTTCTCACTATACTATGCTTTGTATTTACTCCCATAATTATATGGAACAATTACTCTCTTTTGGTAGATACGCGTACAAAATCGTTAGGGTTTTCAATGTTCCCTATATTCAAAAGTGAAAAAGTCACAAATCTTTTTTTCCTTCCTTATGTTCATATTTTACATGTTATGATTTTGTTACAATAAGGACCTTCGCTTGGCACAGCAATGTTGCGAGAGGGCATGGTTTATTATAGTTAATTTTTAAATTTAATTCTTATACACTTTTTACTCTTATAAGTAGATACATATATAATACATAAAGCAGTGTTGGCCTAGTGGCTTCAGCGTGCGACTCTCAACCCTGAGGTCGTAGTTTCGATCCCCGGCTGTGCACCAATGGACTTCTTAACGCGCATTTAACATTCGCTCGAACGGTGAAGGGAAACATCGTGAGGAAACCTTAGACCCAAAAAGACACCTACTTGCCAATTAGATTGAAAAATGTACTAAATTTTTTTTTTAAGTGGCTACATTATTTATTTATTATATTTGCTTTGGCTTCACGGTGCGAAAAGGAGTATTCAATAAAACCAAAAATAATGCTCTCAGAAGACAACACTTAAATATAAATTTAGTTTACAAGTGTCTAATACATAGATATTAAAACACTGAGTTCAAAACTAGAATCCTGGGAGGTTACTGTGATTATGAAGAATAGCAGTGAAATGTAATTTCCTCTGTGTCAGCACCAACCTACACGTACTGCGTCAGTTAACGTATTTCCTGGAAGAAGTCCCGGGGGGGTTTTTGGGAAAAAATTTGGGGGGGGGGGGGTTTTTTTTTTTTTGGGGTTTTTTTTTTGGTTTGGTGGGGGGGGGTTTTTTTTTTTTTTTTTTTTTTTGGGGGTTTTTTTTTTTTTTTTAACACCCCAAAGGAGGAAAAAGGGGGGGCCGGGGAAAATAATATAGGGGGGGGGGGGTGGGGGGGGGGGAAAAAAAAAAAAAGGGGTTTTTTAACACCCCCCAAAAAGGGGGGGGGGGGGGGGGGCCCCAAAAGGGGTTTTTTTTTTTTTTTTTTTTTTTTTTTTTTTTGGGGGGGGTGGGTTTTTTTTTTTTTTTTTTTTTTTTTTTTTTAAAATATATAAAAAGAAAAAAAAAAAAAAGGGGGGGGGGGGGGGTATCGACTTGGCTTTGGATCTAGAAATATTATGCAGTTTTTATATTTTTATTCCGGTGTGCATAAAACCTTCGCGCACTAGCCTCCTTGGTTTGTCTTGTTAGTCTAGATAGAAAACAATGACAAGCGTTGCCTAGCAACAGTTTAATTGGAGGCAAAATATATAACTTTTTTCATGGTTAATTTATTTATTTCACTTGTATTGCTTGTACACACAACATTTAGACAAAAAGTTATCTATACAAATACAGATTGTCGTAATATAAGTTAAAAGAATATATAAAAAGTACCAATTTTTTTTCATCAAACGTATTTGTAAATTCTAATAAATGTAATGATATAACGTTTGTGTTTTACGAGGTTAAGTTAATAAGAATTACTTGCGTCTTCTTGTATATGAAATTTTTAAATGAAACAAATAATATGCCCCATTCTATATTTAGGTAGCATTTGAAGGACAAAATCGCGGAAAAACGGCCACATTTGAAGAAGAAAAAATGGGTTGTCTGTAAAGTCGATTTACTGACGATAGTTGAACGTGACAAAGTCATAAGAAAATAGCGATGGAATGGTTGCATTTTTCAAAATAAAATTTTAATTTTATTTGTTTGATAGACATTTTGTATGGATATAGAGAAGGAGGTAAATGGAAATCACAATTGAATTGATCGATTACAATATAATCGATATAATATGATATATACTTTACATACTATGAAGATGTCGAACGCTGCCGAACGCGGAGGCCGGTTGTTCCTCTATGTCGCTCGTTCCGCGCTCTCGCTTGCACTTCCAGCCTTAAATGGAACGCCTCAGAGCGAGGTAACGCCGCATGCGTCATGTTTTATCGTGCGTGCAGCCGACTCCATCGAATTATAAGACGGTGTCACGTCAAAAAGTGTTATTTCATCAAGAAAATCCACCATGTCACAAATCAATAAAAAGGATGGCAAAATTCCATTAATCAGGATTCAAATTGCTTCCGCATCCACCGTATTCTCCAGCTTTGGCCCCAGCAACTTTTTCCTGTACTCAGACTTCAAGAGAATGCTGGACATTTTGCATGAAGAGGTAATCGCCGGAACTGAAGCCTATTTTAAGGCTAATGACAAATCGTACTATAAAATGGTATCGAAAAATTTTATGACCGCTATACAATCAAATTAATTATATAGCTATCAAATTAAATTCTATAAAAATAAGATTTTATATGTTAGCCTACTAACTTTTCAGCCCACCTGTTATTGAAATTTACGATGTAGTTACCGCAATTTGCATACGAAATCACTATCAATTGCACTTTGGTATATTGTCTAGATATACATTTTTAGACTTGCCATACTTTGCTTCGAAACAGGTTTTCTAGAACAGGGGGCAACAGGCAGGAGGCTCATCTGATGTTAAGGACCTATCCGGTCGCCAAACTCCAAAAATGTACGTTGTTTCTTTCCATTTTTCACTTTGAATTAATTTTATGACGAAAATGTATATCGAACATGATTTTGAAATTTACCCGATATATTTTATCGCAAGCCAAGTAATCCATTTAAGAAAAACAATTATAAACATTAATTTAATGAAAAAACTGTTTAACCGGATTGAAGTTATGTATTATTATAAATTTAAAACTATTTAACATAAAAGACACAAACAGTTCCCCGCCAGCCAGCCTACCTGCCATATGTAAAGGGAGTTACAGATAGAATTAGCCGGATCCTAAAACGAGCTTCTAGTCATACAATTTTCAAGCCGCACAAGAAGATTCAGCAATTCCTAAGACCAATCAAAAGTAACACCCCATTGCAAGATGCAGGTATATACAAACTGGATTGCGACTGTGGCCTGTCTTACATAGGGCAAACTAAACGCAATATGTCCAGCAGACTCAAAGAACACATTGCAGACATAAGACATAGACGACACACAAAATCAGCAGTCTGTGAACACATACTAGATAGGCCTAATCACTACATACGCTTTGACCAACCGAAAGTACTTGCGAAAGAAAAAAGATTCTTCCCAAGATTGGTACGCGAAGCCATTGAAATCAAAAAACACTCCAATTTCAATAGAGAAGACGGCCTAAAATTGTCAAACACCTGGGATCCAATAATATCCAAATTAAAATCTCAAGAAAAACAATCCGCGAAAATACAGGACACCGTGAGCCATTTTTGCCAAAACCCTCCATCTTTTAGTCGATACCAACTCCGGGGTAATAAATACAGATAAGGCAACTTTCTCTACAGCTGTGATACTTTTTGACATCCAACATCTTTTGTCTTCAGTCACCGTGACCACGCACGCTGTAAAGCACGCGAAACGTCGGATAAATTTAAAATTATGTTAAATAGTTATAAATTTATAATAATACATAACTTCAATCCGGTTAAACAGTTTTTTCTTTAAATGTGCAAAGGTTATGTAAATCAAAGACAATACAACATTAATTTAATGTATAATAACTAATTGTTATTACGGGCCGGCGCGCCTCAGTACTCCAGCTCTCCACTGCGCCCCGCAGTCCACCCCGAGACACTGACACAGCAATTCGTGTTGGGATAGGGCCTTAAATGATACCGCGGCTCATTGACACAAGTTACCTAATGTCGCTGCCGGACTTTTAAGAATTGTACGCTCTTTTCTTGAAGGACCCTAAATACAATTGCTTCAGAAATACTTCAGTGGGCAGCTGGGTCCACAGAGTGTTGATATTTGTGTATATATATATATTTTTTTTCTAAAGACAATTCACACCAATTGACCTAGTCTCATGCTAAGCTGGTGAAGCTTGTGTTATGGGTACTAGGCAACGGATATACATACATATTATAGATAGATAAACATATAAATACATATTTAAACACCCAAGACCTAAGCACAACACCAAATGCTCATCACATCGATGTTCGTCTCAGCCGGGGATCGAACCCGGGACCCATGGATTCGCAGTCAGGGGTACTAACCACTAGACCGACGACTCATTAGTCGTCAAAAGTATCACTGTTTGATATCACCTTTTACGTTGCCTACATTACCCTTATCCATTCCGCGAAAAAGACCTAGAATCTAGAAACCTTAACTTTATAAGGCGCTAGATTGAATCGCATTGAGGTGACATGGAAATGATTTCAATCGGGCGCTGACTCAGCATAAAATACGCCTCCAATTGACATCTTTCCATTTGAAAGCCAAGAAAATATCATTGAGCTTAATTCTTTAGACTGCAAGCGAAATCTTAGCGGGAAAATGAGTTTCAAAATGGATTCCATTACGTCCATGTTTGAATAAAGATTAAATATTTTTATACTTTGATGGATTGTTACAGATTTAACATTTAGATGTCAGAAAGCATTTCACATTAATTATATAAATAATACACATATTATTACAACCTTTTTTAGGTCTGGGCCTCAGATTTCTGTATGTTTCATGATCATTTGTTAGTCTAATAAACAAGTATGTGTATCAACCTTCTGTGCCTGACACACGTCGACTTTTTGGGTCTAAGGCAATCCGGTTTCCTCACGATATTTTTCTTTACCGTTCGAGCGAGTGTTAAATGCGCACATAGAAAGCAATTCTATTGGTGCACCCGGGGCTCAAACCTATGACCTTAGGGATGAGAGTCGCATGCTGAAGCCTGGCACACACTACATACTTTATAATTGATATGCTTTAAAAGCACTTTTTAAGAGCTGGCAACAATTTTCACTATTATTCGTGAAGAATAGGATATGTGCAAGCATCAGCCCGTGAGGTCGTTTACATTTCAATTGATATTCATAAGTATAAAAAGTTAAAATAAATAACACTGTTACATCATTATAATATGTAGTTAGGTAAAAATTTAAAAAATACTTTTATGAATGAAATGACGCAAAATTATTTATTCGTCATACTGGCACTGCTCTTTCTGTAAATAGTGTCTATTATACTGACTTCTCGTCATTAACTCTCTCTGTAAGCTGGGTGACATAATGTCTTCGTAAATCCTCGGACTTGCAAGTTTGATTAGACTTCGTACTCGTAAATGTTTACGATCTCTAGATTTATCCTTGATTTTATAACTTACCTACTAACATTTAAACGAAACATTACACTGTCGCTACGATATTTCTTAAAATATTTAACGTTAGCGTAAAATACATTGAGATATGTTTCAATGCTTTGTTTTGTCCCATTATTTATTTGTTGTACATTTTATGTCGTTGAAATTTTTGCGCTCGATTTATTATTTTACTCTACACTGTGGTTACTGATTTAATTATATTATTTGTACTGTATTTCTTGCAACGAAGAGTGAATAAATAAATATAATTCATAAATTAAAAACAAGACGGGACTCCTTAGTGTTACAACCTATTTAACATGAATGTTTTTATTTAAAAAAAAAACGTCGCAGCTAAAAGCAGTGTTTACTTTTTATAGCTAAAAGTCCAGTCAATTAACAAGTGACCTGTTTGCAAATTTATCGGTGCTTTGGTTTGAAGTTATGTGGACATGGTCGAGCGGTCACTAAGCACGACTCACTGAATAGTTCCCTCGATAACTCGTTCGTCAAAAATGTTTGAAGCCTAAATGTCATAGTTTATGTATGCTTGTGAATTTTGGGTATAATATTGGCGCTACATGATATGTTTAAAAGCAAGTCAATCTGACGGCAAACGTATCAATCTGACGTAGTCAAATCTACGCTGTGTGGAATAACAAAATTACTTCCGTTTTCTTCTTAATTGTGTTTATAAAAAATTTACGCCAGGTAAGGGGTATAATCAAGATGTCTTTACAGTAGTGTATGTAGAAAGACAAAAACTTTTTTTTAAAAAATGTTGGCGCTATTTACTTCCGTTTTCTTCATGTTAATTGCGTTTATATAAAAAAAATCAAACCGGCATAAAGTTAAAACTATTGCCATAAAAAGGCATGCTCTGATGACATAGACAAGTTGTCAAATATATTGAAAGATTTGTCTATGTCAAAACACGGAACGAAAATACATGCCAAAATATTCTGAAATTTACAGAGAAACAAACCCAATGACTCTAATGATCCAAGTGGATTTTAATTTTCAGATAACGAAATTTTGGATTTAATTTTTTAAGTCAAAGTGAAATTAGCTACAATTGACGAATAAAACAAATACCGGAGGAATAATTTGTCGTTTGCCTAACAATGCATTGTTAATAATTATTTTTTCCAAAAATTTTTCAATACAATCCTAAGTTCCCAAATCCCCCCCCCATGGGGCCCCTTTTTTTTTTTGGGGTTTTTTTTTTTTTTTTTTTTTTCCCAAACAATTTTTTTTTTTTTTTTTTTTTTCCCTCCCCCCCCCCCCTTTTTTTTTTTTTTTTTCCCCCCCCCCCCCCCCCCCCCAAATTTTTTTTTTTTTTTTTTTTTTTTTTTTCCCCTATCCCCCTTTTTTTTTTTTTTTTGCGGGGTTTTTTTTTTTTTTTTTTTTTTTTTTTTTTTTTTTTTTTTTTTTTTTTTTTTTTTTTGTTTTGATCGAATGAATGACATTATTAGTAATTTAATAGTTGTTAGTTAGTTTGTTTTCCTGGTAAAAATAGGTTTAGGTTCAGTAACTAAATACAAAGTATATATAATATATATCTAATAGCAAAACGTTGTATGTAACGTGATTTAATCCGATAAAAACTGTTTTGTACATGCCCTTGCCCGAGTTTCTAGATCGGCGATTGAACTCGTTATGAACTCATCTTCGGATGAACGGAGCTCACGGACCACTGACCGCTTTCAAAGGGCGATATGGTCTGTGATTATTAATAATTTTATTATAGACGCCATTTAGATTCATATTAAAAATACATTTTTATGTACTATATAATATAGGTTATCGTTAGTTATTTTTGTATCACGAGTTTGACAAACGTATAATCTATGTTAAATATTTATATGATTTTATTTTCGCGCGTAAAGTCTTTCATACAATTATTTGAGGTTTCAATATTTTTTCATGGTCCATGGATATGTCCAATTTGAGGATATTAAAACAGGCCCAACCTTTTTCTCCACGAAAATTTTGGCTAGCTTCGTAGAGTAAGGGATTTAAAATCTAAAAAAGCGCGAACCATGAATCCATAATATGTCAAAATATAATTTGTGTTTGACATATGGGAGGACACAGAGACTGAATTATAAAAAAAGGTAAAGTAAATAATGTTGGGAATTTATTTGCGTTTATGACAGTTAATATCACCGAAGATAACTTCATTAGTTTGTTTTGACTACGTAATTAAATCACTTCAAATTCTTAGGTCCTTCTAACTATATCTTACGCTCTTCTAATAGATGTTTATTGGAAATTCCATCCCACAGTTCATCCTTCTTAGGCAATTCATTTACGATCTCCACTATTAAGTTGTGGAATAGGCTTCCCTGACTCCATACGATTGGCTACCTCTCTGTCATCTGTCATCTTTCAAAACTCTTCTGTATAAATATTTCTTAACCTTATCCTATCCTGATCAATCGTGACTTGTGTAATTCTTTGTAAGATTAGCTTTTAAGTTTTTAGTCTGTTATTATTATTTTTTTTATACTTTAGATTAAGGTTCTATATATATATATATATATATATATATATATTGTATATAACATTTGGTTCTGCACTCTCGCACGCATCATGTTTCTTTTTTTTTTTTAGTTTTCTTTAACTAGAGTGCCTGGAAGAGATCGCTTATTAGCGATAAGGCCGCCCGTTGCATCCCTTAATTAGTATGTTCTTTTATTTGCAACGAAGTATAAATAAAATAAAAAAAATAAAATAATTACTTTCTTAGAATGTTAATCGAATATCGAAACCTCTATAATCGAATTAAAGAAAAATGTTGCCATTTTATCCTAATTTATTTTACTCTATGGTTTGACATTTTACTTCAATAATCAACACTGACATTAATATGTAGGTTGTTAAAAAATTTACCTCTTTTTTTACATATTTTTTACAAAAGTTTTATATTTTACGTTTTTTATATATTTATACAATGGATGATGAAGATGAGGTTTCCAAGAGTCTATACGAAGGTGGACATTGGGTATGGAATGAGGAGGCAGAGGAATTAGAATTTATTAGGTCAGTTTGTATGGAGTCTGTTGGCCTTCTGGCTAAACAATTGTTAACTGCGAGGTCCTGCGTTTGAATTATGGCTACGCACTAAAGGACTTTTATTTTTATGAGTAATAATCAGTCACTTGTTTCATGAATGGAAACAACATGTGGTATTATATATGTCACCGTAAAATTGTAAATACCGTTAGATTGTAATCTATCTCGCGAGATTGTAAACTGTCGAAAGATTGTGAACCTCAACGCACTGCTTACAATTTAACGTATTATTTAAATATTATTTTGTTTACATTCGACAGCAAACAAATATGCATTAGATATATAGGGCTGGTACAACCCAGTAAATCTAAAAAAAACATAATTGCGCTGCAGTCCTTGATCTGTTTTTTTTTTTTAATTTCTTTTTTATAGGTAAGTAGTCGATCAGGCGTCAAATAGAACAGGACGAAAACATAATTAGTTTATTGAGAAATAGTTAACAAACTCTTCACAATGTATTACCCATTTGTTTGTTTAGTTTTACAAAGCAGGGAATTGTTAAAATATATAAAATGAATTTGATATCTAAATTATAATGGTTTTTTACAGCGATTTGAGGGTGGTAGAAGAAAGCTTAGAACTGTTACCGACTTCTGTAGCCAATGTGGAATTCAAAGATGACATCGATTTATTGGAACAGGTTTTGTATGGTTTAAGTCAAAACAGACCACGTCTTTAGCACAGAATAGATAAAAATAGTCTTTGACGTAACCACCGCAAGTAGATAAGAAAAAATAATTTTGTTTGCATGTCGCGGGCTTTGAGCGCGGCGACCGAAAAAAAATTCTAAAAAAAAAAAGAGGGTGGGGGGGGGGAAAAAAAAGGTGTTTTTTGTTGGGGGGGGGGGGGGGGGGGGGTGAAAAAAAAAAAAAAAAATTTTTTATTTATTAAAATAATTAAAATTTTTTTTTTTTCCCCCCCCCCCCCCCCCCCCCCCCTTTTTTTTTTTTTTTTTTTTTTTTTCTTTTCCCTCTCCCCCCCCCTTTTTTTTTTTTTTTTTTTTTTTTTTTTTTTTTTTTTTTTTTTTTTTTTTTGTGGGGGGGGGTTTTCCCCCCCCCCCCCCCCCCCCCCCCTTTTTTTGTTTGCTTTAAATAACATTTACAGTAAACTCCAGAAATATTCCTCTTAACCTATTGTTGAACATTATTTCCGTCTAAGTCTGTTTATGTCTCTGTTACTTTATTCCCACAGTGTTATACCTGTCGCATCCATACATTGGACAGCCGGTCAGGACATGTAACACCGTCTCTTCAGCTGTATCGCCACAAGGACAGGCAGCACTTTGTCTAACCCTGATCCTAGAAGTAGAATTATTACAACGGGATCAAACGAACGGGGACGGGCACAATAATTTGTCGTATATACAACGCTTTTGTGAATAAGAATGAAATAAGCTAATGATATATTTTTTCAGCAAAAATTCCGAAAATATCTACAAAGAAAAACAGAAGAAATCGATTTCGTTACGCTTCAGGTGTGTGTTATCTATACATCCTTTTCATTTAGAAATCTAGAAGTACATACTAAAAATAAAAAAAAGGGTGCGTGTACTTATGTACGCGCGTAAGAGTTATACTTCTTTGGCATTATTAAAAATAGTTTTTGATTGCATGCAAATAATTAATTACAATTAAATAATCAGAGACTGTGAAAGGAGTCATTATAGTCAATAAGGTGCAGTTTACATTTGAAAAATTAAATAAATAAATATTTATTATTATTTTCTAGTATTAATTAGTATTGATTTAAATATTCAATTTAAGTCACTTCTGATTATAATTCAGACGCACAAATAAAATTCGCACTTGTATAATGAAAACACGTGTTTTAAATGTAGAAACTCAAAGCACGTGGATAAATATTATAAATATAAATACACAGTGTCTTGGTTGTGGGGTTCTTTGGGGGGGGGGGGGGGTTCTGGTGGTTCCCGGGGCCATTGGTTTCCCTTACCCTTTTTTTTTCCTTAAAAAATTGGTTTTTTGGGGGGTTTTGTTGCCGTTGTTGCGCACCCCTTTGTTTGTTTTTTTGGGTTCCCGGTTTGGTGGAATTTGTTTTTTTCCCTTTTCTTTTTTGGTTTTTTTTCTTTTGGGGGTTCCATTTTTTTCCTAAATGGTTTTTTTTTGGTAAAACCTAAATTTTTTTATAATCTCCTTTTTTTTTTTTGTTTGGGGGGGGGGGGGTTTCCCTGGGGGTTTGGGGGTTTTTTCCCCCTTTTTTTTTTTTGGGGGGGGGGGTTTTTTTTTGGTTTTTTAGGACAGAGTTGCGGCGTGCGTGCCAACATGCGCCACTAACTTCATTCTGTTAATTTTGTGTCACGGTGCGCGCGCATCGTAAAATTTCACTCTCATCAATATTTCATAACGCGCCTAAAGAAGTATAACTTCAAAAATTGTAATCAAATACGATGTAAATGTCAACAATTTATTTTTCTGCCCTGCGATTCTGTAACTCACTTTTCGAACTCACACAGCGGTTTTCGCATCGGCGGTCGCTCTCAATATCAGTCGTAGAAGCAGTCATTTTATGATTTGGCATTCTGATAAACAATAAACTACAAGCACCCACCTTTTCAGAATGCCAAATCATAAAATGATTCTCTGTTATAATTCAGACTGATTCCCCACTTGTATAATGAGAGCGACTTATGAAATGCATAACATTCTTGTCACGGTGTGCGCGGATGCGTAAAATTTCACGCTCAGTGAGTATTTCATCAACGCGCCTAAAAAAGTGAGTAACTACAAGAATTGCGGACTGATAATGTCAGCTTTTTAGCTCTCTATATTAATCTCTCGATTTTATTCAGCACACTGTGCACGTCCGCCAATTCAAAAGACATTAAGTCAAGTAAGTCATTAATTGGCATGCTTTGTGCTGTTCTGTTGCGTGTCAAAGTCAAAACTGAAATTTGCCGTTTGTGACTGACAGCACTTTAATACAAACATATTTAGACTAATCAATGCATGTTTGACATAATTGTCAGTCCTTTATATGAAATTGTAATGTCTTTCTAGTCTGAGCAAATACATTGTTTACGTTGAGATAAGAAGTTATTATTATTCAAAAATCAAAAGAACCGCTTTACTGACGTTAGAACCTTTTTTAAGTCTGGGCCTAGAGTTCTGTTTCAGGATCATTTGTCAATCCAATACACAGTTTGATACTCCTGTGCCTGACACACACCGTCGACCTTTGGGTCTAAGGCAAGCGTGTTTCCTCACGATGTTTTCCTTACCGTTCGAGCGAATGTTAAATTGACAGAAACTCCATTGGTGCACTGATACGACTACATGTATGAGAGTCGGACGCTGAATCCACTAGGCCAACACTATTTACATATTTAATAAATTTTTGTAGCTACTTTCACCCGGTAGTGAAATAAAGTATTATTATATACCATACTTTAGTAATTTGACTATCTTATCAATTTATTTAAGGATGTAAAAGACGTTGTACTATTCACTGCACCACTAGCAGTAATGTCTTCATCCCTGATTAAAATACTGCATCATTGCACAACGGAACGATTCTTGAGGGCATTGACCTTATACACCCAGTATTATTTACAGGTAAGTCTGATTCTAACTAAAGCTAACTAAACTAGGCACTTATCTGTCTCGCCAGCAAATTTTAGGCATTAGGGAGTAGATTCAGAAACCAACCTTAGCGCTAAGTGTAAGCCCTGTACGTCTAAAATTTATTGGCTTTTGGCCGTTCAAGACCGTTCAAGACCGAGACAAGGTGTTTATTTATTTATTTACGCACTGATACATTGGTACAAAAATAATAAAATAACTAACTCAACAAACACGAAGTATTTAAAAAAAAAAAGTGTGTACACACAGCAATACTCAAAAAACAATAAATAATAACAATACTCCAATCGTGTGTCAGCTACGACGCACGATTGGAGTTTACTCCTTATGAACGATAAAATGGCGATAATGTTCTGTGGCTGTCGACCATATTTTCATACTAAAGGTGGTAAGAATATATGTTTTTTATAATATAAATGTTTGTAGTAGTAATAAAACGTACCTACATCATCTATGCCCAAATAGGATTTTCTTTCTGTGACCAAAGTTACCTTTATAGTAAGAGAAGAATAAGAATGAACAATCTTTTTAGTTTTAATTTCACTGACCATTACTATTGACAAAACTCTATGGTACGCTAGACAATCTACTTTAATTTTTACACCTGTCAACACTGACAATGTTGTAACGTGGCTGTCAAAACGTGAATATAAAATAGAAAAGTCTGTGTAATGTATTCCATCTCATTCTTTTACACGTTCAATACATTTGTCTCTTTCTACATAACGCCTCAACTTTTCGTGTAACACTTGATTTTACTCCTCATAAAATTTCCGTACCGGGCCTTATAACTCAAATCGTTTCTTAAGGAGTAAACTCCAAAACAATTGTGTTAAATTAAAAAAAATTGTGTTGCCAGTGAATTCAAGTCTCGGCACGAGTTCACGTCATATCTATCAAATAGCATTTTTATTGGTGTCTGATTTGTTAACACTTAGTTTAAAACTATGAATTATTGCAACCTCTTTAATAATCCTAGCATATTTTTAGATTCATACAGTGTCACATATATACTGGCCGGTAAAACCGTCACTGTCATGTATATTAGTAGAACCAGTAAATCAAAATTAAACATTATAAGGGGAATAATTTGAAGTCATGCAGGCTAACTTAATAATTTATTGAAATGTCTTAATAAAACAATGTATCTAGTAAATACAGTTTTAGGTTTCAATAAATATGACACAAACTTAGTAACAACTTGTATGATAGGTTTAGTTACCTGTACTATTAGTAAATATAATATCTTTTAATATACCTAGCCATCAGAACCGTTCGATAATTAAAACTTTGCCATTGTAATTAATAATGCAAGGAATAAAAATAAATACATTTTAGTTGGATTTTTATTAGATGTTAGTTGAAAGTAAAATTATTTATTGAGAGCACGTTGTACGAGGGCACTGAAAATTTCGGGAATCAAGGAAGTGACACAACATTACTATTTAAAAATATATTTATTGCTTTTCGAAGTAATCTCGCGAAATTTGACACATTTTTCATACGATGGAACCAATCATTGAAGCAACCATTCCATTCGGAAGTTGGGGGTCTCCAAAATGGCCGTTTTGTAGGCGTCCACAGCTTCTTCAGGTGATGAAAATCTCTGACCACGCAATTTATTCTTTATTTTAGGGAAAGTATAGAAATCAATAGGGCTTATGTCGGGGCTGTACGGCGGATGGTCTAATAATTCTATGTTTTCTTGCTCTAAAAACTCTTTTGTTCTGTGCGCGGTGTGAGAACTCGCATTGTCGTGATGGAGGATGATGCAGCGGTTGCAGTTCTCTTTACGGAGTTTAGAAACGACCTGTGGCAAACAAATGCTAGCATACCATTCTGCATTAACCGTTCTTTGTCCCTCAAGAAGAATAGTCGCAACATGGCCGGTTTTGGAGACAAACGTGGCCACCATTTTTTTGCAACACTCCGTGAACGAACAATTTTCGTGTTTTCGTGTTAAACTCATTTTCGAACACCCAAGCTCGTAACTGGTTTTTTGTTTCGGGTTCGCACGCGTATATCCAGGATTCGTCACCTGATACGATGTTGAATACAGCATTTGAGAATCCTGCGTGGAATCTTTCGAGAGGTCTGACGCACCAAGTAACGCAAACCGCTTTTTGCTCTTCACAGAGCGAATGCGGTATCCATCGGGAAAACAACTTTTTTACACCTAATTGTTCATGCAAGATTATTTGTATTTGACTCATGCCAATGTCTAAAGTTGCCTGAATTTCGCGGTATGTCACATGTCGATCTTCCTTAATCAGCTTACGCACAGCATCAACGTTTTCTTGGATGACTGCAGTTTTTGGGCGACCTTGACGGGGATCATCACTGAGCTTGACACGTCCACGTTGAAATTCAGCAAACCAGCGATAAATTGTGGTTTTGGATGGGGCTTCATCACCAAATGCAGAAATCATCCGGTCAACACACTGTTTTTGTGATAAACCACTTCGAAAGTCAAAATAAATCATCGCTCTTGAATTTACTCGAGTCAATTCTATTTTCTTAACGACTAAACAAGTTTGACAAAACTTTGTGAAAAGACCGAGAATCTTTTTAAAAAAAATAAATGGTATTCGGTTTAAAAAAAAAAGGAGTTTTCAATTAAAGATTTAAATATGACAGGAACAGTGGTATTATTCCATTCCCGATACTTTTAGTGCAGCCTATGTATTTGAGAGCTAACTGACAATGACAGTCTGACATTTCAAAATGGCGACGGTATTACCAGTTTCACCCGCTGCCCAAGAAAAGTATGTGGCACTATACATTTATATAATAACTTCAAACCAGATTTCAGAAGAAATGAGTCATCGTACGTTGGAATTAGAAACGAAAATTCGGACTGAGAACAGCGATAAAATCGAAATGAAATACCGAGAAGACCTAGAAGATTTACGGCTTTTAGTCGCAAAGGAATATTGCATCATTATTTTAGGTACGCTCTTACGATATTTAGCAATTGAGCCATGCGCTTGTCTAGAGGTTACCATTTTCGCTTGCTCATATATTGTTTATTATTTTCGTTACGATTGTCTTTTGTTATATTCTATCGAAAATCAGCATTTATTTACTAAAGGTCACCTCATACATAATTCTATATTTAGAGCAGTGGTGGATTTACCAGCAGGTTGAGTAGGCTGGAGGCTGGGCGGCAGATTTTTGTGGCGGCAAATTTGGGGACCGAATTCTTTTTTGGTTGTGGTTGTGGTTTTTCGTGTAATTTCAACGAAATTGTTGGATTGTTAAAATAATCTTGGATATGACAATTGTAGAGGAAAAGGCGGCAAACTTCACAGCCACACACACAACCTGAAGATATTTAAATCCGCCACTGATATAGAGTATATGTTACGAGATATCTTTTCTAAAATATATGACAACTAGCAGACCGGCCAAGCGTTGCTGTGGCTAAGGTTTTTGTTATATCACATAGTGGTAAACTATTCAAAGGAAATAGTAGGAGAACACCAGTCATGCTTTTTTGGCGGTAATGCCAATAAATTGTAGCTTATGTGAAACGTTGGTACTTTCAACACAGCGCCATCTGTTAGAATTGTGACTATCAAATAATAAACAAATATTTTGCAATAAAATAATATTGCGGGTATAAATTGAGATGTAAGCTATCTTTTAAGTTAGATCAAACCGCACACGGTGTGCAAATTTGATTGAAATCGGTTAAGTAGTTTAGGAGTCCATAGCGGACAAACAACGTGACACGTATTATATATATTACGATTATGGTAAATATAATTGGAACAAAAGGTATATAAAATAAAAATCACTGGCAAAACGAATTGGGTATCAGATAGGATATCAGATAGGCACAAAACTTATTATTTAAATTGATCAGCCCACTACCGAATATGCCAAGCTCTGGATAAGTAGTGTTTATTCTGTTATTTTCGCGAATAATTCGAATCAGAGGTGCCTGAAATCCTAGGTTGTTTTTTTTTCAGGAAAAATAAATGAAGGTAATGCTACTATTACTAAGATACTAAGCTAACTTATACAAGTATCAAGTGAAAGCTAATTCCCTATTCGAGTATTTAAATATTGTTGTTAAGTAAATAGCTAGAAAATAACTAAATGTGTACAGTAATTGATCGAATTAGACTGAACTGCAAAAGCGATTACGATTGTTTCACTATTTAAACAATTACGGACGACACAGTAACCGCGCATTACGGACGTTTGACGAGTGTCTAGGTCGTAATAATTTATTACCACTCTTTCGCGGAAGTATTATGTCCTTGGTGAAACGATATTCTATTGCCGGGGCAAGCGATTTTGTATTGTATTTTTCTAAGTCATTATTTGCCCCTAATAAATGTATTTGTATCATCTTCGATCTCAGAAACTGAATTATATTTTAAGGTGAAGGAAGCCTAGCGAAGTATCACCACATGGGCGTGGCTAAAACAGGTTCACTGTCAAAAAAGGATGCAGTCTTATTTGAGACACTTGTAAAGTTTTCTATACAAATAGTCTGGATCGCCCTCGGGAGGGTTTGCTACAATCAAATTGGTATTAAGATTTGGCTTCAGCGTGTGACACTTATTTATTTTATTTTTTTTACTATACAAATATAATAAAACTAAAAGTTGAAAAAAAAATAGTCAGTTCAAATGCGACTGGGCAACTGGACTTAAAATGAAAAATTATTTGCATGTTGTACAGTCCATAGCATAAGCAGTATATATATATTTCTTACAGTCTTTAAACTTAAGCAGTGTTGGCCTAGTAGCTTCAGCGTGCGACACTCATCCCTGAGGTCTTAGGTTCGATACCCGGCTGTGCACCAATGGACTTAATTTCTATGTGCATTTAACATTCGCTCGAACGTTGAAGGAAAACATCGTGTGGAAACCGGCTTGTCTTAGACACAAAAAGCCGACGTGCGTCAGGCACAGGAGGCTGATCATCTTCGTAAAAAATGTCGTAGCGCCACTGATTTTTTTCTTTGAACGTATATACGAGTAAGTTCCGAATATGACAATAAAGATTCGTGTTGTTTTGATACAAATCCGAAAACAATAGTTCCCTTAGTATATTTTATTAATAATTCGAGTAACACGTCTTTCATTCCTGCAATTATAATTAATTAATTTTTACAGAGGTGGAGATAAATCGCCTATTCAAGTCGGAAATATTTAATTCAGCGGAACATAAACTTAATATTAATTATTACAAACACATTAATGAGAGGGAACGATGCGTTTTACTAGGTCATTGTGTGAATCAAGGTCAAAAATTGACGACGCGGTCGCCATTACAGAATGAGGTGTTTTGCCCACGTTATATCGATTTCCGGCAATTTGGAATTGGAACTATTAAATATCCTGGGTAAGTTAAGGCAATCTTACAGCTAACATACATCTTATATATATATATATATATATATATATATATATATATATATATATATATACTGCTCAAAACAATTAGCGGAACAAGATTTTTCTCCTTTCTATTGCTTAAACTAAAATTAGATTTAAATTAACTTGTACGCTATTTTTTACCTTGTTAATTTGTTAATTACTATTGTGTTTTAATTACTAACGTGTGTGGCCTCCATGAGCCCTAATCACGGCTTGACAACGACGCGGCATGCTTCGTATGATCCTCCGAATATCTTCTTGTGGAATTGGCTCCCATTCTTCAATCAACGCTTCAGTGAGCTGCTCAGTGTTTGAGGTGCAATCGGACGCTTCCGGATGCGCCTGTCAAGCAAGTCCCAAATGTGTTCAATTGGATTTAGGTCAGGGCTCATGGAAGGCCACTCCATTACACGGATTTCCTGCTGTCGTAAGTAATCTGACGTGATGGCTGAGTATGCGGCCTGGCATTATCTTGCATTAAAAGAAAATCTGGGCCCATACCATATGCTGCGGGCCAAACATGATCTTCGAGCATATTTTCAATGTAAGTTTGAGCACACAAGCGCCCGGGAACAACGACGAGATCTGTGCGCTCGTCCAAACTAACTCCGCCCCAAACCATCACAGAGCCACATCCAAATTTGTCATATTCCTGGACTGCTGCTGCACTGTATCGCTCGCCTGGGCGTCTGTAAACACGGAGACGACCATCGCAACGTGTTAGACGGAATCGTGATTCGTCAGTAAAAAGCACTGGCCTCCAATGTCGAAGTTGCCAATTAGCGTGATTTTGCGCGAACTGTCGGCGAGCTTGTCTATGTTGAATTGTTAGACGCACAGCCCGAACTGGTCGGCGTGATCTCAAATTGGCTTCCAACAACCTATTTCCTACCGTCTGGTCGGAAATTTCTACACCAGTAGCGGCCCTTAGTGTATTTTGTAGATCTCTTGCAGTTGTGGTGCGGTTACGTAAAGCACAGTTGACGATGTAGCGATCTTGCAAACGTGTAGTTTTTCTCTTTCGACCTTGACCACGCCTTCGTGAGTATTCTCCCGTCTCACGGTATCGCTTCCAAAGTCTGTAGATAACAGAAGGGGCTACTCTTCATTTCCTACATAACGCTAGTTCGACCCTCTTCAAGCAAAGCGATAGCTCGGGAGACATGCAATTCAGTCAGATCTGGCATTATGACCTAAACTCACACGCTTCAATGAATAACAATACTCAAAAGGCTCACTTCAATTTCTATTAATACTCAAAAGATTGAAAAAAACTACTTAAAATGTGTTTTCTGTGATTAGAAAGTAATGAAAATTCAAAGACGTCACTTTGTTTTTAGGTGTTTCTAGACACACTGCCACTAGACTACTAACCAAAACGCCGATGCTCTTTTGTTTTTTATTTTCTTCGACAATGCCTTAACATTATCTAGTGGCCAGTAATAATTAAAACCTTAAGTAAAAAGTTTAATTCTACTTTAAAGTTTTGTTCCCGTAATTGTTTTGAGCAGTATATATTTATAAAAATGGTATTCGTTTGAGGCTCCTTCTCGCCTAAACCACTGATCGTATCGACATGAAACTACTGCCATTCGATGCGAAATTTTTATGGCTATTTACTTTTTAAATTCCAACGTTCCTTCATTTTTTTATTGCTGTTTTACTTTTATGAAAATTTATACATACGGACTTCACCGCGGAAACATTCGGGGAGGCATCCTAGATCCTCAAAACGTCAACATCTGTTAAAAACTCTGTTAAATTTTCAATTTTCTTAGCGGCAAGTTAAAGAGAAGAATAACAAAAATATGAAAAATAAATAATAATGAAACATAAAATTTTATTTATTTCCTATTTTAATTCGCGCGGGAAACGGCTAGTATTATTATAAAACAAAGCACACACAATATACAAAGCGAAAACATATAGATAATATACATAGATAAAGAATATACAGTGTAAAATTCTTTATAACGAATTTCAAGGGACCGAGCACTTTACTTCGTTATAAAGAGGTTTCGTAATAGGGACAGAAGAAAAAAACACCAAATTTAACCACTTACAATAATTTATATATCTATAATAGATAAGTGACAATGGTGCGTTTAGTAACTGAGACCAAAATTTCCTACAGGCAATGTAATCTATGAATGGCAAACGTGTTAATGCAATTAACAATAACAAAGGCGAGACGGCTGTTTATGACCTCAGGTGCCTTTTTAGAAATTTCGGCACCTTTAGTTTTGTAATCTGTTTATAAAAACAATTACACTTAAGTATGTTGTTGATGTCTAAATATGAAAATATTTCTACGTAATAGAAAATGACTGTTGGGTTATAAAGAGTGTATGGGTTTTGTGCCAAGCCAAATAAATTTTATTATTTTACGTTATAGAGAGGTTTTAATATAGCGAATGACGTTATAAAGGGCTTACACTGTATATGAAACAGAAAACATGAGTGAAATTTAATATTAAACAATCGATATATTTTAATACTTAATATTTCAAAGATCATAATTAAAATTATTTTATTTGTATTTATCTACTTAATGAATAAGGACTTGTGTATCTGTGAAGATTTTTATTGACATAGTTATTAATATTTAGTTGTGAGCTGTAAATCTTATTAAATGAAATTAAAAAAAAACGTTTATATATACAAAGTTCAGTGGATGACTGGTTTGTTGCACTTCCCCAGACGTATTCTTCGTCGTGAACTTTCGAAAGGTCCTTGTTGCTCCGCCTGTTATATGTACAATTGTACATATTTACATTGTATTATTTCAAAATTAATGAACATCAAATCAAAATAATTTATTCATTTAAGACAATGTACACTTATTAACGTCAGAAAGAAAAACATATTAAATGCTTCTAATTTTGTTTTGTTTGTTTTAAATAAGTGTTGTTTGATGATTTGCTGTTTTAAAAGAGTACCGAGAGTTTTTTACGCCGGCTTCTTCTCTCGGCCTACACCCTCTGTCTTCTTTGCCGATGAGTAGGGGGGGGTGCCTAAAAGTTCAAATTTAATGACGTGGAATAAGTGATACATGTATCTTATGTTCCATAATAAACATATTTTATTTTTTATTTTTTACATTTACTACCAGAAGAGAAGAACTGGCAATAAACTCTCCGCCACTCTTTATAATCGCCAAGTTTTTGTTTTACACAATGTTTGTAAGGAAATGCAACCATTACACCATGTTCCAAATTTAAGAAGGAAAGAACAAAGAAACATAATATTCATTATTTAAGTAAATCATAATACCTAAAAAGAAATACAAAAACTCAATCACTGATGTTTTATAAGCCCATTTTACTAGTATATATTTAATTATTTAAAAGTTATCAAACAATGTGCATGCTTTTTAAACGTATACAAGAAATTTGGACAACATAAATTCTACTGACATGGGTACGTCACATCAATCAAATATATAAAATTCTCGTGTCACAGTTTTCGTTGCCATACTCCTCCAAAACGGCTCGACCGATTCTCATGAAATTTTGTGTGCATCATTGGGTATGTCTGAGAATCGGACAACATCTATTTTTCATCCCCCTAAATGTTAAGGGTAGTCCACCCCTAAATATTTTATTTTTATTTTTAGATATTTTTTTCTGTTTTTATTTTTTTATGATACAGCATTAAAAATACAAACCCCTAACTTTCACCCCTCTACGATCAACCCCTATTTTTTTATTATAAATGATATATATGGCAAAACGACGTTTGCCCGGTCAGCTAGTAATTATATATTAGAACATAAGCAAGCTAGCTAGGGAAAAAATAAACAAGCAACCACAAAATAAAAACAACAATAACTAAAAACATATAATAATAATTAAAACTAAAGGAAAACCTCGTATGAGTATTAAAGATAAAAAAAACGACGGGTTGCACTCCGGGAGTGCCGGCAGAAGTGAAAACTTGAATATTAACGTTGTGCATTTTTTTATATTTTGGAATGGTTAGGAAATAATTTTGCACGAATTGCTTTAATGATCAGTATAAAAGTACCTACTATCATTTATGTGGTAGAATACAATATTTATTTATTGCGCTATCGTACATAAACATGACAATTTATATTACATTAAATACGCCGCGCCAGCTGTCTCTGTACTCTCCATCCGTCTTACGAATTTTCGACCAGGTCACGTGTCCTGACGCGAGTTTAACATTTTTTACCCATTCCAAAAAAAAGTGTACAACGCCGCTAAAGAAGTTTTCACTTCAAAAAATTATTAAAAATAACTAGATCAATGAAGTCACGTCGGAGTTTATATAGTGAGTAAAAATGTAAATAAAAAGTTAATACAGCAGTCAGTCTAGCATAATACGCGTTGCAGACCAAAGGGCAAGCCCTTTTGTTTTTGTTTTTCCCCCCCCCCGACGGAATTTTCCTTTGTTGTGTGTGGGCCGCAAACAATGTGAGTTTAGCTATGTGTGCTAACTAAATTATGCGAGGGGTTGTTTGGTTTTTTGTGGCTGCGGCGGGCGCGGCGCGGCGCCGCCCCCCCCCCCCCCCCCCCCCCCCTCCCCTTCTTTTCTTCTTGCGGGTTTGGGTGGGGGGGTGGGGGGGGGGGGGTTTTTTTTTTTTTTTTTTTTTTTTTTTTTTTGGTTTGGTTTTTTTTTTTTTTTGTTTTGGTTTTTTTTTGTTTTGGGTTTTTCCCGGGGCTTAGTATTTTACAATTATACCTTTTTATTCAAACGTCACACTGAAAATTAATGTTAAAAGTTCGTAATAATTATAAGTTACACTCAAGAATTCGTCAAACAAGTTGGAATTGAAATTTTTAGTAGGCATAAAATATCTTTAATAAATGAATACTGAATATCCTGATTTTAATAAGTCCTAATTACTTAAATGGCGTCGTGTTTCGTTCGTGTCGGTGGAATTTAATCGAATTATCGTTCTGATTGAAAGTGGAAATGAATTTGCATACAAGAATTTATTAAATTGGCGCTTTATTAATTATTCATTGTTATCCTTTGTGTCCGACAATGCGGGGACATTTCTATTTTGATACGTGTTTCGTATCGATGTAAAACGCATCTATTCAAATACATAAACGTTTAAAACAATTTCAACTAATGCTTTGACAGTTGACATTACGATAAACAAGTGCCCGCGCATTATTTGAAAAAGGTCAATCAATCAGAGTGTGATCACAGGGCATTGTAAATTATAGTAGACACAGATTAAAACATTTTTTTATTAAGTATTGTATTTTATTGACATAACTTTTAGACATAGAAAAACACTTTTTTAACGGATTTGAAATTATGTTTTATCATAAATTTACAATTATTTTACATAATTTTAAATTTAACCGACGTTTCGCGTGCTTTACAGCGTGCGTGGTCACGGTGACTGAAGACAAAAGGTGTTGAATGTCAAAAAGTATGACAGCTGTAGAAAAAGTTGTGTTATCTGTATTTATTTAACCGGAGTTGGTATCTACTAAAATTATGTAAAATAATTGTAAATTTATAATAAAACATAACTTTAAATCCGTTAAAAAAGTGTTTTTCTATGTATATTAGACTATTTGTTAATCGGACTTTACAAAAATTTTCGATTTTCAGAAAGAACATTCAAGAATAGTTGTTAAGGATGTGTTAACAATACATTTAATGATCATTTATGATTTACTGTAAAGATAGAATAATGATATGGAATAAATAAATAATAAAATAATAAATGATTTCAGATTAAGCAACCGTCTTCGTCTCCTTGAAATATATTTGACGCAACCAGAACAAAATTTCGAAGAGTTGCGTCTTTCCATCGGTATTTTAGGATTACCGAGATCAAAGTTTGATATAATGTTGCGAGAAATAAAATCAACTTTAGCCTCTGCAGCAAGTTCTAGCTCAGGTGTTGCCCGAAACTCTATGGCTCGCAGGTAAGGAATTATTTAATTGAAATAAAATTTAAAAATCAGTTTTCCTTACTACTGATACAAAGTAAATTAAATTTTTTATCTTTGCTTGCACTATGTTTTAAAATTCTCGCTGTTAAATGCAAACTGTTAATTTTTGAAGTGAAACTTCTTTATCGAGGTTGGAAAAAAATTTAGTGTAACATTTTTCGTTACGCGTCACATTTTTCGGTTACGCGCCATGTTGCTTTTTTGAAGTCAAACTTCTTTATCGGCGTTGGAATGAAACTTCTTTATCGACGTATGGGAGAAATTTTGTAGCAAATCGTCACGTTTTTCAATGATAGTAATAATTCTATTACAATTAATGAAATTCTATAATAATCTTCGTAGTAATAAGGTAAAATGAAATATTTGTATTCATGTCTATGATAATAAAAGCATTTTGTTAAACTTTATCTAATTTAACGAATTTCTGTAAAGTTGCATATAGTAGATCATTTTTCGAAAAATAAGATCATAAAGAAGTTTCACTTCTTACGTGTGTACACCTAGTACACGCACAATTTATTTATTTTATTTTTTATTATGGCTCTGGCACGATTTGTGCATTAGCCAGCGTCAAGTATAGGATTTTTATAATTCGTTCTTATTGCCTTAGAATTTCGACCGTGTCCTCCATGTACGGTTTAGGCACTCGCCCGGTACCGCACAACCCTCCCAAAGGCCGAGAACAAATTTAAATTAAATTAAAATTTGCCCTCGAACCGGGAGTCGAACCCGGTACCCCTCACCTAGCTGCCACTTAATAAGACCGCTAGGCTATGATGCCCCCAAACTGTTAATTATAATTAATGTAAACTGACTTTGACAAGATCAAATATGTCACTGTCACCCAAAAATCTATGTTTTATGTTAATGATGTTAGAACAGATTCTTCAGTAAAAGGGCGGAAGCGCGAATTATTAATCAAATAAAAATTATAGCTACATCAAATAGTTTATAAAATTGTAATTAAAGGGCATCAAGACAATCAAGAACTTCGCGAAAAAGTATTGGCTCTGTCCGTCCCGAAAAATTATATCCGGACATATATCTTCCTGAACAGACTGAAATTACGTGAGTTTACAGCACTCTCCTTTCCTTCACCCTTGGTTCATATAAAGCATTTTTATTTTTATGGCTCTGGCACGATTTGTGCATTAGCCAGCGTTAAGTATAGGATTTTTTAAAATTCATGCTTGTCTTTAGAAATTCGACCGTGTCCTCCATGTACGGTTTAAGCACTCGCCCGGTACCGCACAACCCTCCTAAAGGCTGAGAACAAATTTAAATTAAATTAAAACTTGCCCTCGAACCGGGAATCGAACCCGGTACCCCTCACCTAGCTGCCACTTAATAAGACCGCTAGGCTATGAGGCCCCATATAAAGCATTTAGATTGAGGTTATGCGTCTTTTGTTTTAACACTTCGTTCTATAATCTATAGTATATTCAGACATAGATGGCACTAACGCTGGCCATAGACGGACCGCATTTTGCAGTCGATACCGACTGCTCTAAGCGGTCGCCGCACGGCGAACTGCAGTTTCCATACTAAATTCATATCCGCCATACACGGACCGCACGACAAGTTTCTGAGCGGTCGGAGCAGTCGCTCTGCGTTCGAGTTTCGCCGTGCGGTCGACTGTTTAGAGCTGCCGGACCCACCATACACGGACAGCTACAAGCGGTTGCTGCCGACCGCGCGCCACTCCCTCCAATAAAATAAAATACTAACTAATTCATCAAATGAAACCACGGACATTTTAAAGTAGTTGAAAAACTTTTTAGTGTCTTCTGTCATTTGGGGATACAAAGTATGAAATATTCCATGCTGTTCTCTTGGTTGTAGTATTGGACGAATCCACATGCTAAGGTGTCTTCTATGCCTACGGTTGCGTAATAGTAGTACAAGAAACAGTGTTTCTTCATCGAAATCCATCTTATAAATGAACTCGCATCAGTTTTATTTTGCGGTCGAACACAACTGCTCTAAGCAGTCGTAGTCGACTGCATTATGCGGTCGTGTTGCAGTCGTGTACGACTTCAACGCGACCGCTCTAGAGCAGTCGGTCTCGACTGCAACATGCGGTCCGTCTATGGCCCGCTTAACGCTCAAATCGATTGTCTCTAGGTAAGTATAAGGAATAATAAAATAAATATTGTAAGTACATGAAGTACAAAACCATATTATAGTTCAAAATAATTGTTTCTCCGCATTTAAACCACTTCTATATAACGCATTGATGTCAGCCTTGCGATGCTATATTACGATTTGGCATTCTGATAAGGAGGGAGCTTGTGTTTTATTGTTTATCAAAATGCCAAATTGTAAAATGACTGCTTTACGACTGATTTGAGCGCGACCGCCGCTGCGTAAACCGCTGTGTGAGTTCGAAAAGTGAGTTACAGAATCGCAAGGCTAACCTAAGATTTTTGTGATACTTATTGATATACTTGCGTACTTGTACTCGTATATATTTTAACACTTCGTTCTAAAAGCTATTAAAACATAATTATATAATTATGACACTACCGCTATAAATAATTAATTAAATCAGAACCAGTAATTACAACTAAATATTTAGTAGGTATATGCGTTTTAATCAAACTATATTTACCAACAGTATGGAATACGACACGTTTCCGGAAGGAGAAAAACCTAATGTAGTGTGTCACAGATTTCAACGTGCGAAATGGTTGAGGTTTGCCGCAGCACGTAGAAAAAATAAACATAAAAAATGAGACGAGTTTATTTTATTCATTTTATTATTTATATTTATTTTATTCCAACCTAGTCTTAATATTAGACCAGTGTTGGCCTAGTGGCTTCAACGAACGACATACCCTGAGGTCGTTCGATCCCGGCTGTGCACCAATTGACTTTCTTTCTATGTGCGCATTTAAGATTCCTCGAGAAGGAAACATCGTGAGGAAATCGGATTGCCTTAGACCCAAAAAAGTCGACAACGTGCATCTAGCACAGAAGGCTGATTGACAATTACATTGACAAATGATCCTGAAACATATACAGAAATCTGAGGCCCAGACCTAATAAAAAAAGTGCGTGCGTACAAAGTATACATGTCAGAAGTGAAACTTCTTTGGCAAACTAGCTTTTAAGTCATGTTCATATTTATACAAATCTAAAACATTAGATTTCCGAGAGGGGAAACGGAAGATATGTTAGGAATTTAATGAATTTAATTGTCATAAAAATATTAAGAGTGTCGAAAATTAAGACAAAGTATAAATGTAATTTTTTAATTTATTTATTCGATAATACAAACACGTGGCATTTTAATTTACAATTCGTCATTTGAGATTTCAATAAATTATTTTGCATAAAATATATAATTATATATATTTCATAAATTCTCTTCACGAAATTTGAATTAAAAAAAAGGATTTCTATAAGGTAATTCGCCCTCTTACTCTCTCTCAACCAGTCTCAATCGCTCTCTCCCTTTTTTTCGACGAAAACGCCGCTTATTTTCGTCACGCTGTTATTATTATTATTGATTTTCATTCGTAAAAATTTTACCTTCATGCGCCTAAAGAAGTTTCACTTCAAAAAGGTTGTAGCGCCGCTACTTTTTTAGGCTTAATATGAAATACATATATACAATAGAACTTGCGATTCATTTGCGATCAGTTACTCGGTAAAAACATGAAATGATTGAATAGAGGGGCAATCACAATGTTCTGTTAAAAATGTGGTTCGGAAAAAAACAATTAAATTATCTGTATTACGAGTATCGTACCATTCGTGTTGACAGATATCGACAAATTCTCTAAAATCGACTCGGAAGTGATCCTACAACACTTGACCCTCAGATTTCCTCCCCTGTTTCATTTGTTTTCTAATAGGCATGGTAATCAGCCTTCTGCGGCTACCCTCGACTTTCTAAGGAATGCCGGTGTCGTTACGTTTTCCTTCACCGTTCGAGCGTGTGATAAATGCGCTCATATTTTAGTCCACTTGTAATGAACCTACGTCGTCAGGGTTCAGAGTTGTACGCTTTGAACGATTGTCTGCGTTGATAGGCCGGCAACGCACTTGCGAGCCTTCTGGCAATGTGAGTCTGCCTCGTATTACATTTAAAAAACCTAACGTAATTGTTTTTAATAAAATTAATGTAATAAATGCGCATATATTTAAGTAGGTATATTAGAGAAATAAAGTAAAAGACACATTTTAATTAAGAATATTTAAAAAATAGCTATAAAAGTTAAATATAAATAGCAAATTATCTCCCATAAGGATGGAGCAGCTTCGCGAGTCTTGTTTGCCATTTTCGTCGTTGTGTTTCACTGCAGGGCCGGATGTGTTCGGGGTCATCGGGGAATGACGGTGGTACTGATATACTAAAAGCAAAGACATTTTTCTCAAGCGGGCTCAATTGAAATAAGGCTAATTACAAAGAGTTTCTTTAAATGACAACATTCTATCTTTCAGTTGTCATTATTTTTGGCCTAATTGTCTAGTTACCAGGCCATAAACTCCAAAAAAAAAGATGGCATTATTTTGGCCTAAAGGTTAAATATTTAATACCAGGCCATAAACTTAAAAAAGATGTCATTATTGGTTGTCATTTGTCATTGCTGTTATCTGTCAGTGTGGTATCGATGGTTCGTGGTCATGGATATTGTGAGTTATAAGTTAAATCCGAGTCTAGATATAAAAAACATTACCTTTTAACAGATTTTAACAAGGGTTTTCTACGTTTCTACTAGTTTAATACAAAAATACCTAAAAAAATGAATGATTCATACAAAAATAGTTCCACAACAGCAATTCAAGGACGTTATTGCTACGCACCGCCACTATGTGGAACCTGCTGCTGAAGTATTTTCGAACCAATTCAACTTAGGTTCCTTTTAAGAGCGTACCAATTCTTCCATATCATTATAGCTAAAGGAAAACATTAGATGATTGAATTGTCTTATAAAAAATATACATACATTCGTGACTCCTTCCTCGGAAGAACAATGTCTGGATATATTTTCTGAGCTGTTGTTTGGCTTTTTCTCATTGTACTACTAACACTCGATTTAGATGCATGACTTTGAGATCGTGAAGATCTGAAATTACATTTTATTATTATTATTTTTTTCGTCAATGACAGCCAGTTCCTAAAGAGCTAATAAACGTAAAATTTCTTTGAATGTAATATTGTAAATATATATTTATTGTTTGTCATTTTTTGTAGTAAATAAATAAATAAAAGTTACAATGCAAGTGTCAAATCTCTAGTTGCTAGAAGCAAGATAACTTCCACAATTTGATTAATATATCAGTCATCAGACAAACTTTCAGTTTGTAAGTTTTTTTCGAGTTTCTTAAACTTATCAAATCATTCAATACGATGAATTTAATGATTTTAGTCTAAACGACACTTAAAAAATGACTTAATAGTCAAACCAAAAATAACAAACTTCAAACTCGAATTGTTTTGACATCTGACAAATTAAAGCAATGCTTCACTTGGCATTGCTTAAACAAGCAATTCCCTACCCTGAGATTATGTTATCGAAGGCTTTAAACCAATAGACTTTTTAATGTGCGCATTTAACACTAGTACAGACACCGGCAAACATCTTGAACAAATGTCCTTGCCTGCGCAGAAGTACTGGAATCACTGGGAGGGGGGACGGCAGGCGGTGGTGCGCGGCGGCGGGAGAGTGACGTGCCAATCGCATGATTGGTAAATCAGTCGACGTTTGTGTCCCGCGATGTGCAAACTTTCCCCCACTCCCTTGTTTAATGCTTAAGAACGCTTTACACGAAAAAATCTACATGTGTAGTTAACTGATCACTTGCTTAATAAGAAAGAAAAAGATTAAGAAACAGATCGGGTCGAGTGCCATCGGTGTACAGTCCTAAGACACTCTCCCTCCTCTCCTACTCATCTCTAGATTTTACTATTTCTAAACCACTCACACTGAAGCTTTTGATTTTCCTTCACTAGCCGTGGGTAGAGGCTTCAACATTGTATCGAATGATGACCGATGCATTCCAATTATACCCAACACGATGCCCAGTTCTCTTAATCTTTCTTCAGGACCTGAGACTGCTTCTTTCATGTAATGAAGCCGTGGTGTCAGCCTATAAAATTACCATATAAATAACGCACTCAAAAAAACTTAAAGTGGAATTGGACCGGTCATATTGCCCGCATTTGTGATAACAGGTGGGTCAAAAAGACCCTTACAACCCTCAGATCGCACTTGTATTTTGAAAATTTCAGCGTTCTGTGCCTGATTTTGGAATTTTCAGACATGTCTGTTTCCTCGCTATATTTCCTTTCACCTAAGAGTCGGTGTTAATATAAAGAACCACTATTGCACAGCCGTGATTAGAGTCCGTCAGTAGAAACAGTTTAATCCGATATATTTTAGAAAAAAACTAACTATTGAATAATATAAAAATAACCTTACTGAGGGCACTTTATAACTCCTAGTCCCATCAAGCGATAATCAATCTCCCTGTGGCAGAACACCTCATTCATAAGCGGTGAACATGTATTCAGCTTCTTGTCATGTCTCACGCATCTCCCAAGCAACACTGCCCGCTCTTCTCGACTCATTTTATTTATGTAACCAGTGTGAAGGTTATGCTCCACCGCGTTGAATATCTCCGATTTGAATACGCGGTTAACTTCCAGTTCTAGTAAGAGTTGTAGGGAGAGTAAAATCTTTTGTTTACATTAGGTTTTTTGAAGTGAAACTTCTAATGCGACTTCCAACAAGGTTGCGTTAAACGTTTAACGCTACCATGGAGGGGGTAGAAAGAGATAGAGCGAGAGCAAATGCGTGGGACTTGAACGCATGCGCGTAGTTTACCTGTTACAGGCCAGCGCGAGCGTTAGCAACGAGTTGCTTCTAATATCCAAACGCAAGAGGGAGAGAGCAAGAAAGATACAGAAAGGTAGAAAGTAGGAGAGAGAAAGTGAGGCGGTAGATCCCAAGCACATGCGCGTGGTATTCTTATTTGTTTAGACCACAAGCCCATGAACAAAAAATACCTGTGAAATGACCCAACGTGAATTACGCTTAGAAGGCTGTTACTATATCTGAAAACAGCTCTGAGCACTATGCCGTCATTTCTGAGCGGTACATGTGAGTACGTGAGTGAATGGACTTTCTCAGGTACAATTGGGGAATTTCGACTAATTATTAATGTACGGCTTTGTTATAAGTGTATAGATGATTAAAAATAAATGTCGAAAAACTTAGTGCCGTACTAAAGTGATGGTACCGGAAGTCTGTGCAAATTTTTAATTCGACGATAGTTGCAGGAGCAATATAGGTCATTTATTACTGTACGGCATTTGTGTGATTCCTTTTGGACACATATACAGATACTTTACCCGTAAACGCCGTACATATTTCCAGCGGAGCGGTCGAAAGCCAAGGGTCGCAACATATGTCTGATTAGCATATAGGTGATGATGATATAGAACAACATAAAATTAAATGATCTTGAGAGTTCTTCACAAATAGGTAACATTTTCCAGCATGCCGTACATTTTTTGTGGAACACATAGGTGTATGGGGTAAATTACTTCCCTCCGAAAAAGAGTCATTTTCCGGTGACTTTAATCTGTACGGCAATAACACAGGTTATTAATACTTTAGACAATCTTTAATAAAAGATAAATGCCGTACACTTTCGATAGTCCGCTAGTCTGTGAAATGGCAGATTATACCACCGCCTACCAATACAGGGCGTCCCAAAGTTA